GGAACAAGACTTCTGAACAACTTTCAAACACTCCTGTTTCTTGCAACCTTTTCAGTCATAGACTGACTATCTTATATTTTGTTAATCAGGTAGAGATGTTGCGTATCTTTATCTGTAATGCCTTTTTCAGCTCTGCCTGTACAACTCATTCCTTTCAATTATCTTTCTTTTTTCTACCTTTTCTGCTATTCTGCTATTCTGAATATTCTGCTCTGCATGTCTATTTATCCCTTCTCAAATAAATAGTTCACAACTTTTTGTGGTGTATTCCAGAGTCCTGGCTGACAGTTTATGTTTGGCATAAATGAGTGGACCTTGTGCAGTTGAAAAAAAAATCCCAACTGGGTTTGGGTGGAGTTGCTTGTGGCATAGATAAAGACCAAACTGGTTTGTTAAGTGTGTAAAGTCTCCAAAATTCAGTGTAGGATAAGGAAAGGAGTGGATAAAAAACGAGATCTTCTTAGTATTTTGAAAAACTTCCAGCTAGTTATTTGGTTCCTTGATATTTCCAAATACTGTCTCATTTATAAACCAGAACTGCAAAGATGCTTGCAAATAAGTGAGGTTCATAAAGAAAAGAATCATTACAACATTTCAGCTCCTCAAGAAATTATGTCTGCGGAGTGTGTGTGTGTGTAAGGATGAACTCACAGTTAGAAAGCACAGTTTGTAATCGTAACCTGTGATTCTTTTTCTACCTGTACCCCAAATTGCTTGTAATTCACTTAATTTCTCCCTTATTCAGTGGCTATAGCAATACGACCTCAAAAATAAAATTATAAAGCATAATTTTGTTTCTCTTGTAAAACAGTGAAGTATCCATTTGTTGAGAATCAGTTTAGACTAAAAGTACTTTTTTTCCTCTTCTTTTCTATTTCTCCTTCCCATAAAAAAATATTGGCACTCCTGACCCCTATTCCATCTTCCTCATGTTCTAGTCACTTGTCAGTATATAAATTCTTGGGTATGGTAATATTTAATGCACTATCTTCAGCTTCTCTGTAATTCTGTCCTGTCATTTAAGTCCAGTCCTAATATCAAACTGGTTTTATTCAGTGTGACCAGCAAGGTAGCATGTGCTTCCATGTTGAGTCCCACTGCCAGTTCTGGAAGTATCTCTCATTAATCAAGAATCACTTTGTCATAGTGCAGCTAAAGTTGTCACCAAACTTTGTACTTAAAGTTTGAATAATAAAGACTCCTCTTTTGTTAAATGGAGTTAACACAGCTGAATAGCTTCCCTGATGGTTTATTATATTAGTCTTTCAGAACATTGACTGATTTGTTTTTATTACCATGAAAGCTTTTGTCTTATGAAAATTACTTGGGACCACAGGTCAATGTTTTTCATGTCACATCTCTATAAAAAGTACATTGCCTTCTTATACTTTGTATTCTCCACTGCAACCTGTATGTCACTTAAATTTATTTGTCATGATACCACTGCCAGGCTGCCATTAAATTGTTAAAGTATATTCAGGAAATGTTGTTGCAGTAACCTTTAGAGGAAGACATATGGAAATGGACTATATTTGTTAATTAACATTTCGAACTGCAAACCTTCCAAAGCATAAGGCCTGGTATGAATCACTACACATGAGCAGAATGTTTAGAGGGGTGATCATGTTTTTCTTGAGACAACAGATCCTTCATGTTCAAATTGCCTGTCTATCTATTTAAACTAGGAGACTAAACTGATAAAGAACAAAAATGAAGTCTAGAGAAAGATCAAAATATGTCTCTCTTCTGTCCATCTACACCAGTATCAAAAAATAAAATGGCCTGTGATTCTTGTCTGTATCAACAATGTCTAAAAATTGCAGCTCACAGAAGGAAAACAGAGAGCATAAGGGATGTATAAGAAAGAAGAGAACCCATGGGAGAAGCTCCTGAGCTGTTTCAGGTTAAGCTTAACGCCTTGGGTTAAGACTTATCCCAAGTCTTGGATGCATCACCCTCCCCACTGGAGAAGGCACTGACAGAGATGTTGCTCTCTCTGAGATAACATGCTTGTGATGCTTCCAGGACATGTTCTGGGAATAAAAAATTGGACTGCATGCAGATAAACTGAAGCTGGGGAGGACTGAGCTTTCGTGTTCCAGACACTGTGATCTCTAACAAGATTGCTATGTTAAGGGATATTTAGAGCATTTATTGCTGATACTTCAGGGCTGGTTAGAATTCCTGAAGCTGGAGTTTTAATGCTGATCCCATAGTAATACAAGTACCTGAAGATGACATAATCCAGCAGTGTTGAATAAAGGGGCTCATTGCTTTTCTGCTTGCTAAAGTTTCATCTACACTGATTCCCTGACATGGTTTGGTGTGGGATTGCATAAATCCCTGTGGCAGCATAAACCAGCACAGGAGCATGCTGGATTTTTGAAGGTGGCAGAGGCAGGGAGCTGTGTGCACCTAAACAGGTTTGGAGTTACAGTGGGAGCAGTAGTTCCAACAGGCAGCTGCTGACGACAAGGAATGATGTTGTCCATCAAATCTGGCAGAAACCCCCCAGTTTTGCAAGGTTTGAGCTACCTGACCCCTCTGCATGTAAATCAAGAGCTGCACAACAATCTGAGACTAAAAAATGAAAGGTGTCAATTGAGTACAAGCTTTTTTTCCTGTGGACATTAAGGAAAATTGAGGGAATTGAAAATTTGTGGTGAACTCAGACAAAACACTGATGGCTAAAGCAATTTTTTGTACTTTCCCAAGCATTAGATTTCATAGAAGGCACTGTGAATTCTGTTAGGTACATGTGGCATGCGAGTATGCTCACAGCACCTCTCCAAGTTTTAGCTTGTTTTCGTTCTTTTGGGTTATTGCCTGGCAAAAACAGTATAAAACAGGTTGCAGGAACTCTATAATCAAGCTTAAAATATTCAGAGGATGCAGCTGTAGAATTAAATATTTGAGAGGAAATATTATTAACAGAGCAGAAATATAGGATGCCAGTATAATTATTGTTTCCATTGTTCACTGTTGTCTCACTAGGTGAAAACCAAAACAGAGGCTTTAGGAAGAACTGCAGTGTATCTGGCATGCAGGTTGCTTTTCACTATAGTGTTTTTCAGCTTCCAGAATTACACTTCTGGAAAGGTTCTTCCTGCTTAATCTGCTGCTTTCATTAGAGTTATTCTTTTTCATTACTGCTTCTAAGCTTAGGGCTAACCAGGAAGTCTCACAATTTCTTGCTTTTCTGAAAGCAGTTTCTCTACGAAACAAATGTGAATGACCACATTTTTCTTGAATTTTGGGTTAGCAGTAAACCCCTAACTTGTTTAAGTATTTGAAGTTTTCACTTGGCTTGGATGAAATAAAACCCAGTGTAACACAGACATAGAAAAAGAGAAACTGCTTTAAGGAATATTCCAATGCAGTTCACTAACCATTAAGTATTGTTCTACTTTTCTGAGCTTAAATCTCTACTGACATGAATCTTTTATATCCTGCAGTGCAAGTTGTACTACTTGGATAACTAATACAGTTAAAGCAATGGTTTCATTAGACCTGAGAAAGTTTGGAATTGGTTGTGATTGTTGAGCAATTGAATCTCCACTTTGTGGCAGTGGAAAGTTTTTATGTTAAATTAACAAAAATTCTTGAATGTATTCCTGAACTTGATTTTAGCCATCACTGGTAAAAAAAAAAAAAAAAAAGTAATTTGAAATGTGTTTTTGAGACAGCAATTTGAAGGTCTATTTTCTGTGTAGTAATATATGTTGGTTTCTGTTTTTATCTGTGGCTTTTAATTTGAGTTTATTAGCATGGAAATTAGAATGAATGATGTTAAATAAGATGAGCAAACAATGACAGAAGAATAAAGGGGAGCTGTGACAGTCACAGAGGCAGTTCTGACGAAACCATGGCCAAATGTTTTCTACATGTATATAACACTGTGCAAATTCAGCAACTGTTTATGGAAATGATGTATACTGAAATATGACATGGTTCACCTGGAGTCGGACAAACCAAAACTGTTGAACTTGTTATTTAAAAAACATACTTCAGCCTATCCTAAAAAAAAAATCACTTTTTTTTTTCCCAAAATGGGTCCAAAAGATTTGCAGTTATTTTGCTTAGAGCTCCAAGTTGATACTTTGATGAACTTCATGAGGTTTCTGCAGTTCTACTTACTGAGTCCCTAGGTGTTGGGTGGTGGCCTGGTATCTGCTGTAGCCATCATTCCCCTAAAATGGACCTATGCTAGCCTTGTTTCCTCTCATTATGTCCCCCCCTGTGTGCAGTTTCTCCCAGGTGATGAGCAGTCACCTCACAGTGGTGTTGGACCCCTCTGTGGGCAGCCAAAGGAGCCCCTAACACTGAGTGTGCCCATTCTGCAGGCAGTTCTGAACTACTGCTGATGAATGCCCCTCGTCTTTGCAGCAACACAAAGGTCCAGGAGCAGATTCTGCCTGTGAAGACAAAGGCAAAAAAGGCATTTAACCTTTTCACTGCTAGTTCTTCCCTTCAGCACACCTCTTTTTTCCCTGATCATCCTTTTGCAGGCTCAGGGACTTGTAAAATCCCTCTTTGTGAAATCTTTGAGCATCAGATGGTTTTGTCTTTCCTGATTTTGTCCCAAAATACTAAATTGCAATTGTTTTGCTCCCTTTTGTTGCTTAAGTTCCTTGTACATTCACATTTTGCGTTTTATCCATCATCAGTGACATCAGGCTTCCTGAGCCAGCTAACACTTTCCTTTTTACTTGTTTTTGAGAGGGAGTTTTGCCTGTTGAAAATACCCTATAAATAACATCTTGTGTAGTTTTTTTTTTCCTCATAAATGGATAGATTGGAAAAGAGGAAACAGTCTGAAACATAAAATTTCAGTATAAACAATATGTTTGACAAAATCATAATAAAATGCAAAAATTCTTAACAGAAATTGTAGGGCTACAGTCCTTAGTAAAAAATATTTTACTGCTGTTGATAAACTGAAGTATTTTTTCTTGCTCAGTTTGTTTGTTATTAATCTCTTCTCTCCCCTCTATCCATAGGGAATGAATACTGTGTACCCAGACAACAGTAAACCAGCTGCAGACCACTGACAGAAATCTGTACACCATCAGTGTGGGAAACCTCAGCTTTAAGCTCTAAATGATTCAACATTTGTGTAAGTCAGACACGTTCTGCTATTATGTAACAAAATAATTTTATATCCATGTTCATTGTGATGCTAAGAGCTTCAGATGGTGTATGAACTGTTTACTCTTGCAAATTGTCTCTCTAATAATTAGGTGATAAAATTGAAAGTGCTTGTGAACTCTAGATATGTCCTTAAAATGTGCAGGAAAAGCTGTGTGCACTTTGCAGGCTGTTAAAGAAAACCTTGCTACAGTGACACATTTTGTAATGCTTATGTGGGGTTTTTTTAGGTTGTTTTTTGTGTATGAAACTTCAACTTAAAACAATATTGCTAAACAACTAAGGTCATATTATATTGATATTTAAGGCAAGGCTCAGATATTGTTGTTTAATAATGGAAATGGCCTGTAGAATGTACAGAGCTGACAAACACTCAGAGAATGGGGTTTTTTTCCCCTAACCAAGTTGAGTATTTCAGGCAAAGACAAATATTGGCATTTAAAATTTTACTTCCTCTGTTCCTCTGTTCTTTTTTACTTTACAATGAGACCCGCTATGGAAATGCAAAAATACTACAAAGGGGTTCAATTTTGACTAGTATAGGTTGAAGTGTTTTATGAATGGAAACTGAAACACAAGCTGTAGAGAAATCACTTAAGTCACTGCTGAGATGCATTCATCTCTGGTAGCGCATAAAAGTTAATTAACAGTGCAGTGAACTGGAGGCAATTCAGAGAGAAACATTATTAGATGAGGATGTACAAAGAAAGTGAAATATCTTTCAGTTTACTGGCTAAGGATAGATGAATATTTCCCAATGTCTGTAAGTGACCTTGACAGCAAGGAGGAACAGTCTGGCTGGAGATGTTCCTTGGGGTGCTCCCTCTGTGGGAGTGAGAGGATTAAAGAACAGGTGATCAGGTTGTGATGTGGAAGACACACCTTTTCCATCCCAATGTCTGGCAGCTATTGAGGCTGCATCCATATAGCCCCTATATGCAGGAAACATTTTTACTGATTGAGCACACTCATACAGGGTCATCTAATGTAAATTGCAGTTTTCTGTTGTATATATAGCAACTGAAAGTGGAGAACAGCAAAAGCCACTGAGGAGTGGATACTGAATTCCAAACTTGCGTAGATTTCAAGACAAGGAACAGCAAAGCCATTGCTTTGTGTATTTAAAGCTAAACTAGAAACTACTGCTTAGAGTATTTTGAGAACAGTCCTGCTCTCACAAGGAGGTGGACTTAAAACCTAAATCAGTCTTTTTAGACTGTACTTCTTGTTATGGAATGATAGAGTTTTCTGGTGCCAGCCCTGGATAGGCTCACAAGGGTTATTAACCTCAAACATCTATTTGCATAGACTTTTCTGGTTTTATTCTGGTTTTTCCTTTGTTGGGACAATTGTGCACAGAACACTTGGTGGAAAATAGGTGGTTAAACTATGCCTGCTCCTGAAAGCTGAATTTTCCTGTCCTTAGTTTTCTTACAATTTTCTAGATGGATTTGGGATATGGAGTTTGTGAACAGTAACAGTTATTACTGATGTGATCAAGGACAACTAGAATTCAAGAGAAACCTCAAATTTCTCTTGATTGCATGTCTTCTGCTGTCACTTTCTTCTCTCCTACATTTTTCAGGATTTTCCATTGCTGTAGGTTCTCCATGCATGTTATACGAGTTCCTGCATCACTGTCAGGATTATGGGACTTTAAATCTTCGTCCTGTTTCTTCTATTCAAATGGTAAAATGAAATGGATTTATCTGCATCTTTATTCAGGTTAAGAATAATTCATATTCAAAATAATAATTCCATTTCATCCATGATCAGTTAACATCCAGAAGCTCTCTTTCTCTATTGATATCCAGAATGAAGGTTTAAAAGTACTGAATCCTTTTTTGAATATAAAAAAGTTGTAAAGCTATGAGATTGCTTGAGCTGAACCCTTGCTGTATGCCTCATTGGCTACCCAGGCATTCAAAGAGTTCCCATACAACTTGCTGATGTTTTGATGAGGGACTGAGCTCTGCAGATGAAGGTCCATGAGAATTCCTGGGAAAGTGAGCTCTGTAGCAACTGGAAGCAAAGTTGTGGGAGCTGGATGTTTCCACTTACCCATTTTTCTAGACTGTGAGCTGGCAGTCAATTGGCAAAAGGAGACAGAAATATATTCTTGAAAATATTTCTATTCAAATGAGTAAGAGGATGGAGTAAAAATAAAACAAGAGTGAGAGACAGGAAGATAGCATGAAAATAGCAATTTGAGTTGTTGTCACAAGGGAGCATTACACATGGCATCACATAATGCATGAGTTAATCATCACAACATTCTTTGGAAACGAAGCAGAAAAGTACAGAACATGACAAGAATTATATCCAAATGCAATAAAATCTTATTTGAAAGTTGTTTACATTTTGAAAAGTAGATCAGTAAATTTAGGGTAGATGAAACTGGTTTGTGAAAATTCCAGGAACTTGGCAGAATTCATCCATACAGTGAAATTAATTTGAGACTGATATATTTTCCTTCATGAGGTTGATTGCAGCAGGCTCCCCCTCCCTGGAGACTGAGTTCTGTGCAGCATTCCTTAAGGAAGCAATGCTGGCAAACCAGGCTCAGACAGAGTGAGTGAACTTAGGTGTCTTTGCACCTTACGTAGCTCCTTCATGGCTGTAATTCAGAGAAGGGCTGGCAGAGCACAGTGACTGCACCATTACCTGGGCTGCAGTAGTGTGACACATTATCACCAACCTGTGACACCCAAAATAGACCCCCCCCCCCCACCAATGCTCCCCCCCATTGCTTCTGATCAGAATGTCTTCACTTTGCCAAGGCTGGCTGTTGGACTTAGCAGAAAGGGGCCAAGTGGGGCTCCCCATGGGACTTCCATCCTGGTGCTGATCTGGAAGTAACCAGGAAAGAGACAAAAATGAGAAAAGACAAGATCAATAAAGGAAATTATTTGAGGAAAAAGATCAAGAAAACAACAAAAGCAAACCAATTAAAACAAAAGAAAAGACAGGAAGGTTACATTCCCTCCCTGGGCCAGATGTATTCTTGGAACCTCAGCAATGCAGCCCCAAGCATAATGGATACCCTGGTGGAGTGAAGGCATTCCCTGAAACATGACTTTTGTCATGATGCATGATGACATCTTCTAAAAAGCAATTGTGTGATGTGTGCTATCCAGCCTTCCCTGAAAAACTGGGACCTTCCAGTGGAGATGGGTCATGATGTAGTTATGGGACTTAAGTGCTAAGCCTTACATATACCCCTGAAATTAATTTGACTGCTGTGTACCAAAATCTAATTTATTTCCTTATCATCTTCCAACCATTAAATTGCTAGAGCTGAGTTGTGTAAATGCTTTAAAGAAAGGCAGCTTCTAGTCACCAAGGAATATTGCAGAAAAATTGCCTTCTGAGCATGGTTATATAACGCCCACTTATTTTAATTAGACTTTAGCTCTCAAAGTCCCACTTTACCTAAGTGGCATGATCACTGAAACACAGTAGAGATCTGTGATAGTAAATGCAATCTATGTGCTCCTTTCAGCAGTGACTTTTCCTTTAATATTTTGTCTCTCAAGCATGTGAGCCCCAAGCAGCTACTTGCAGTATTGTCTATTATTAGTGCTTACTCAGAATGGACTTGTTCTCCAGCAGAAGTGCAAGAAATGTCTGTGTAAGCATTGCATAGCTTTAATTTTCCTACAGAAGAGTGGTCCTCAGGGAGGAGAGTCAAATAAACAGCAGCCTAAACTGTACTCCAGGTAGCTGAACACCAGGAACAGGACCAAACCAAATTAGTCACAAAGTGATGCTGATGTTAGTCTTTTCTCAGGAAGATATGCCAAGCAGAGACAAGTTGTTTTGGTTTTTTTTTTAATAAGTAAATTCCAACTAATTAAAGGTTTCCCTTCCTTCATTCTACTTGAATTTTTTTCTGCAATAAAGGCTTTGGCAAGCAGGAAAAAGATGTTGTGGTAGCATCCATTAACTCCTCAAACCCTGCAGCCAGCTGCCTCTTCTTCCTGTTTTTTGTGATGTGTCCTGCTGCAGAACATAGAGACCCATTTGGCCAGGCACTGAATGAATACTATTTCAGTGTACAAACCCAAAAAGAAAGCCAAATTGTACATTTGTCATTTCTTAAAAGGATAATTTGTGTATGTAGGTGGCAACAATCCCTTTCTGGTTTTTGGTTCAGTATTCTTGCACTTTTAACTGAGCAGACGAAACAATTTGTTTCCATGTAATCGTGGCAAGTCTACAGGAAATTCTTGATAATTGTGCTATGCTTTGTTATGATGATGAATTACTGCACATGTTTCTGCCATACCCATTAGTCTTACTTTGCAGTCTTCACCCTGCATGTGCTCTGAGATAAATTGGACATTGAGACTAAGAGGCAGCATCATCCTGAACCAGAGTGTTATAAGGTCAACTTTTTTATCTTCCTTTCTGACATCAGCTGCTCTTTCAAATCTGAAAATGGGAGACATCACATTTTTTTTCTCTCACTGTCTGATTTAGAGATGGAATACTTTATAGAACATGCCATCCCTTAATAAAAAAGCAGGAACTAATTCCAAGAATAAGTACCTCACAAAATCAAACACAAAATCCAATCCTACGTGTAGATAAAAAAGTCTTGTAGCAAAAAGGAAGTGAGGGCTCTGCCTGGAGGGAAGAGATATAGCTGATAAAAATTCAGGAGTGTATAGATTGGTAGGGGAATTTGAATAAACCTGTTTAGGAAAAGAGTATAAACAAGGTAATAATCAAATGATAGAACCCATAGTGAACATTTGCAGCAGTTTGTTTTACTGAGTGGATTGTTTATTTCTCAGAGCAGTCACTGCAGTCAAGCAGGGAAAGAAATGCAGTTGAGCATCTGCTCCATGTCTGCTTTCTCTCAGTGGACACTACAGATTTTGCCAGACACGACACATACACACAGGAGGCACGTTGGGAAGAAGCTCAAAGAACTTGCTCAGTCATCTGGCAGTATCTAGACTA